GCTGTGGTTCCAACTGTGCCCACCCCAGCCCCACTTGCCATGGTCTATCCTCTATGGCTCCGGCTGCTGCCTCTGCCCAGTCTGTGGCCAGGTCTCCTGCCACGCCACTTACTATCACCCCTCCTGTGTCACCTCCACTTGCCCCACCCTCTGCTGCTGAGTCCCCTGTCCTGTGACTACCTTCGCTGTTTTTTTTTCTGTCTTCATAGATGTAACTCCCCTTTTGTGCCGACCATTAGTGCTCACAGGCGCACACTGCTCAGCTGAGCTGGGTGTCACGACTATGATGAGCCCATGGCAGGCCCGCCCCCTCTGCGAGCACGGCCCTCGGTCCGAGTCCAGCTCCTCCTGGACCTCTCCCTCTCCTCCAGGCCTGAACTTGCTGATAACATGCCAACTGTTGCCCTGACCAATTCTCCCCAAATTCTCCTTCTTCACTTTTGGGCACAAGATCATCCACCTCAAGGAAGTGAACTCTGATTTCAGTGTTTCTACATTACAGACTTTTACAGTCTCTCTCTCTGAATTGTCCAACAAAACTTCTCCTTCATAATTCTTATTGCCCCAATTTTCCTGTTATAGTTCTATGCCGAAATAAACCACCACTTTCCTGTATGGGAAATTCTGTGCGATGTCACTCTTTAAGATTTTCTGTGTGGTCTAAACAATCGTACTTTACCTGCGCTTTTCGGACAGAGAGTGTGGCTTTGTCAGTTTCCCCAGAGAGGCAGAGCGACCTTGGTCACAGCGTAGGTTTCATTGGCAGTTTCTTTAGCAATTAGAAGAAAAAAACAGATATTCTCAAGAAGTCATGGATGAAGTTCAGAGAAAACCTTTCCTGGGATGCAGTGAAGTTCCTTAGCAGTTCGATCCTTCCAGGACTTGAGTAGAAGCTGTGTGAGGTGGGACTGGAACACCCAGTCTGGGGGGAAAGGCGCCCCACTTCTTTCCTTTCTTTCTTACTGAATTTACTGGGGTGACCCTGGTTGACAGAATTATCCAGGTTTCTGGTGCACGAGTGTACGACACTCACCGGCACGCTGTGCTGTGTGCCCCACCTCTGATGCGACTCTAGAGCATCTGACCAGTAACTCATGACTTACAAGGTTGTTCTTTCCAGCTCACGAGAACATGCACCATCTCTGGCCCTGTGTCAGCACCAAGGATTGTTTCTTCTGCCTTTTACGTGGTTGTGGGGGAGAAGCAGGGGCGTCTTTCTCCGTCCTTGGATGGTTTCTTCGTATGCTGGGAGCGGCTCCCAGGCAGGGTTTCTGCAGATGTTCAGGGCTCTCTGTGCCCCTTCTTCCTCCCTGACTCTCTGCCCTGCGGATTCCAGCCGCCGTGGCATCCTTCATTCCAGCTCCGTCTCCTCCAGTCACGGCCATTACCAGACTCCCCCTGGCTCTCCCCACTGGTTCTCCCTCCTGGAGCCGCACCCCGGAAGCTGTCTTCATGCTCTAAACTCAGACAATTTGAGGGATCGCCTCACTTGTTTCCCTGCTCGAAGGCCCCAGTGTCCTGCCCTGCCTGACAGCCTCTGTCTAAAACCGCCATTTATCTCCGGGGCTGTTTGATTGTTCCAGGCGGGACGGCCAGTCCAGTCCCTGTTACTCCATCTGGGCAGGGCACACAAGACTCCTTTCCTTGGTTTCTCATCTCTTCCTTTGCTATTCTTCCATTATTTTTCAAAATAATGCAACATAAGCCAATATATTCTCTATATTTGTTTCCTTGATCTCTTCTGCCAGCTCTCGTCAAATCCCCCTGAGCACAGGGGGCGGGCGCCTGTTCTGACTCAGTCTCACTATCAGAGAACGCGTTCGAATTTTGAATTTTCGGCGGTCTGACAGGTGAACAGCAGCATCTCCTATTTTCATTTCATGCTAAAGAAAGATTTGCATTTTATTTTTTCAGCAGAGTTTTGGCCCTTTTTTTCCTAATCTAATTGTAGAAGTGCTTTATATGTTAAGGTCATTAACTCTTTGTCTTGGTATACATTGCAAGTTTTCCAAAAATTTTGGCATTTGTATTTTTTACTTTGTTACAGTGAGTTTCGTACTATGGTTTTATTTTTTTTTTAGTATAAATGATTGTCCTTTCACCTTCAGAATTTGATAGTGAATTGCGCTGCCATTGAAAAACGGAACTGAAAATTGTTAAATCATGCGTCCTCTTTAATGATGAGGTCTCTTGTGCCTCTGCTCTGTAAGTGGCCCCGGCTGACTCTCCTTGAAGCGTCTGTGGTGTTGGTAGGTTCATTGCCACCCACACTGCCCCCACCTAGACGGTCATTCACCTCCCACCCCCTTCTTCAGCCACCGCTGACTTTCTCCCCCCTTCCTGCCACCCCCATCTCCAGTCAAATAATGTTGACAAACCCTAGGTATTTGCTCACACCTTTCTGCCAACTTTCTGATGATATGATAGCTCCTCTCTCTGTGGAATTTCAAGGATACCCTTGAAGTCTCCTCGTTCGATCAGTGGTGTGTTATTTTCTTTACTCTCCTACGCACACCGTCTGGACAAGCCACCCATGCCATCCGAAGCCACACTACACCCTGTTAACCATGTCCCCACCATCTGAGTGCTCCTTCTTCTCTGCTCCGTCCGTCCAGGTGACCTGCAGTAGGTCAGGAGTGAGCACGTGCCTCATGTCTTCAGTAAGTTCCCCACTTACTCAATGAATGTCCACTCAGGGCAACTGCTAGGCACCATATTTACAAATATGAATGAGGCAGTGTCTGGCTTCATGGGGTATGAGGGACTTTAAAAAAGTATATAAACCAGTTAGTGATAAAGGCTGATATCCTAGCCCACAGGCATCTGCTGGAGCACAAAGAAGGTGAGGGTTCGTTTTGAATGTGGGAGATGTCGGGACAGATACTGGTCGCAGATGAGCCAGTGTCTGCCGACTTAAATGTCTGGGTATTTGAGTATGAGCAGGAGTCTGCCAGGCTGACACGGGGGAAGCATAGTTACACAATGAAACAGCATGCAAAATGACACGGGCTGTCGTTCTTCATACCTTCAGGAAAGAAAGAGACAATTGCACTTCCTGAAGGCTGTGTAATTCAAGTCTCCCTGAGCTCTAATTACCTCGTGTCTGAGGAATTAAGAAAAACCATTTCCACCTCATGGAGTCCTTCTGAAGTGTAAACAAAATAACAATTATAGAAAAAAATTCCTGACATGTAGTAGGCACTCAAAAATAGGAACTACTAGTATGATCTAATTGTATAAAGAAGTGTGTAGACTTAAATACATAATTGTTATTTCATTTAGTAATTACACAAGGCTGCAAATCAGTGACTTTCCACCACTGTACCCCAATACCTCACTATTTAGTCAGGGGCACTGACCTCTTTTCCCTTAGATTGTCAAGTAAAAAAAAAATGACAACAACCAACACAATAGCCATCCAAGATGAATGAGTCAAAATTATACCTATCTTATTTTGTTAGATCAGCAAAATACATATTTTTTGGCATGCTGCAAAATTTTAGTAGTTAGTTTTTGTGTGACGTGAGATGACAAAGGTTGGAAGCGGCTGCTCTGAGTAGTTGCCTATGTGTGGGTCTCGTTAATATTCTTAAGTGCCTGGGGGAGAGAGTAAAGCCTAATCCCTTCTACCCCAGACAGACCTTGCAGAGAAAGAAAAGCTCAGAATGTACAAAAATCTATTTCAATAACACTTCAATTATACACATTCCGTTTGGTATGTTCACCTACCAAAATAAGATAAAGAGACTCTGTTGTAATACCCTAACCTCTGAAGATCATGTCAATGGGAACTTAACAATTTTAAAAAGGATCCATCATGTCGATGTGTTTTTACTACTTAAAAGTAGTGATTTGGAGCGGCTGTATCAGTCCACATTCCCACCAGCAGTGAGTGAGGGTTTTCCTTTCTCTGTAGCATCTCCAACCTTGTTATTTTAGAGGATCTGATAAAGAGGGTGTGGTACACATACAATGGAATACTACTCAGCCGTAAAAAAGATGAAAGAGAAAATGTTGCTACTTGTGACAACATAGATGGACCTAGAGAATATTATGCCAAGTGAAATAAGTCAGACAAAGATAAAAAGCATATGATTTAACTCACATGTGGCATATATAACTGAAACACGGACAAAAGTATGGTAGTTGCCAGAGAGAGGAAGGCAAGGGAATCAGCAGGGGGCAGGGGCGGTAGAGAAGGCCAAACACTTGGTGATGGAAGATGATCTGACTTCGGGTGGCGGACACACAGTGCAATATACAGATCATGTATCATGGAAATGTACACTTGAAACCTAGTATGATCCTATTAACCTATGTAAGCCCAATGCATTTAACAGAAAATAAAAGTAGTGAATCACTGCACTATAACTGTTTCAAGTTAAATAGAATCAATAAGAAATAAGAGATAGGCCCTTTGCTAGGATCTGTTACAACACACCGAGAACCCAGGAAAACTAAGGGCATCACAGTGTTTCTCACTGCACACCAGCAGCTGCCCGCCCCCTTCTGAGATGGGCCTTCCACCCTATTTTACTACCAGCATTTGATATGACTTGCTCTTTGACAGCAGAGGAGATTTTACCTCCGTACAATCCATTCTCAACGTAGTATTCTAGAGTTAAAGAGAAAAATGAAAAATGAACATTTGTGAAGTCCAGTGAAACAGTGTCAGGTGATGGGCCTGCTTGAGAAGACGCATCAGACAAAGGAACGTGGGAGCCGACTCACCGGGCTTTAAGCTAACTGGATGGCTCATGATACGGGAGGAAAAGGAAGTAATGCGGTTCCTATAAATAGGGATATTGATCAGACAAACACAATTATCTAATTTACTAAAACTAACTGACTTGCAATTAGGATAAACAACAACAGAAATTCTGCACATGGTCACAGCAGCCCCGAGCAGGGTATAAAAGCAGCCGAGGGCAAGGAGAGATCATACACTTGAGAACCTCACTCTCCTGGAAACTCACCCAGAACCTCTACTCTCTGACACCATGGTCAACTCCTGTTGTGGATCCACCTGCTCTGGCCAGGGCTGTGGCCTGGGCTGCTGCCGCCCCAGCTGCTGCCAGACCACCTGCTGCAGGACCACCTGCTGCCGCCCCAGCTGCTGCATTTCTAGCTGCTGCCGCCCCTCTTGCTGTGGTTCCAGCTGCTGTGGCTCCAGCTGCTGCCGCCCCTGCTGCTGCCGCCCCATCTGATTCCTGCTGCCGCCCCTCTTGCTCTGTTCCAGCTGCTGCCGCCCCTCTTTTGCTCCACTCTGTGCTAGTCTGTTCAGTGCTGCCGCCCCTCTTGCTGTGGCTCCAGCTGCTGTGGCTCCAGCTGCTGCCGCCCCAGCTGCTGTATTTCTAGCTGCTGCCGCCCCTCTTGCTGTGGCTCCAGCTGCTGCTGCCGCCCCTGCTGCTGCCCCTCCTGCTGCTTCCGCCCAGTCTGTGGCCAGGTTTCCTGCCACACCAACTGCTACCGCCCCACCTGTGTCATCTCCACCTGCCCCCGCCCCATGTGCTGCGCCGTCCCTGACTGCTGAGTCTCTGCTTTGAACATACTACTTCCTCCTTTTCTCCCTCCCCACAGATGCGCACCTTTCTTTTCAAAAATATGTAACTGATCTTTTGGTTCTCATAGCAAACCCCAGTCCTACTAATTCTCTGTTCGCATTCTAACTTCTGTCCAAACTCTCTTCCTTCAAAATGAATTCATTCAGAATCCCCTAATAAACTAAGTTCGCCCAACATCCCTTCAGGACATCCATTCTTTATGCTTAAGGAATTTAATCGTCTCCATCACTTGTGGGGCCATGGAGTTTAACCCCTGTGACATCGAAATCCAATCAAGTCTTTTTCTTGTACTCCTTTGGAAAGATTTTCTTATAGCTTGTCATTTCTATGTACCAAAATAAATCTCTGTACTAATGCTGAAAATTGCATGTGATTGTTAGCTCTTGTTTTTAAAGGTGGGGCTAGGTGACTGCATCTCCTCTGCACCTTTTGAACAGAGAGCATGGGGCAGTCAACCCGCAACGGAGGTCAAATGACACTGGCCACCAGTTTTCTCTAAAAAATCTCCTCCATCTTAGCCAGATCAATGAATCATTTTCTAGTCTTTAGGGGAAAAATATTGGCAGAAGTCACATTGCATCCATGAATAGAATAAGGGAAAGTTTTACAAAGATTGAACACAATTCATGAGCTTTTGAAACTCTGACTTTCAGTGGTGGGGGGGAGATGGAGGCAACTGTACTTGAACAACAATAAAAAAATAAAAGAAAAAAAGAAGAAAAAAACTGACTTTCAGGGTTTTTTTTTACCAATAAAATCAGCTAATAAGTAAGTACATAAATAAATAAATGTTGGCTTCTCTCATGTGTAACTGTTATCCCTTTAGAATATTTCTCCCTCTTTTCTCCATTAGTCAAATGTTATATATTTTTAAAGGACCATTACATGTCCCTATGTCATCAAACAGCCTTCATTTACTTAACAAAGACTTTTCACTAGTGGCCTCTACCCCAGCCCTGTTCTGAGCGGACGGAACAAAGTCAATGCCATGGCTCACTGTCAGGGCACCTGCAATGCAACGGGGAAATGACGGAGGTAAATAATAGGACACAGTAGAGTGTGGTAAATTGGGAGCACAATGCAGACAAGAATTATATATGCATGTGGCAGTTTTTCAGAAACCACATCACTGAGGAGGAAGCATTTAGCTGGGGTTTTGACAGATGAATAGGAGTCTGCAGACCTGACAAGAAAGAAGAAACACTCTGGGAAGATCAAACAGCTTCAGCAAAGGCTTGCAAGTTTTATTCTTCACACGTTCCTCAGCTGCTCTAAGATTAAGACGAGCTAACTTTCTGTTTAATCTTGGACAAGTTTTTCCTTTTAACTTCTCCATGTTTCTTTTGCCTAATCCACTAAAAGAGTAAGAAGAATACACAGTACTTCACAGGGTTGCATTAGAGGTTAAAAACAAACAAGACAGTCAGCATAATGCCTGGTACATAGTGAATAAATAGTTCACAAATTACAGATACAAGTATGTTCTCCGCCTTTCTTGGAGGGTATATGGAACTTATTCACATATCATATGTTCTTAATTATTTAGTGAAAATAATTTCCATTCTTTTAATTGTTGCCAAACTGTGTTTTCCAGGCATGTCTTATTCAAGTACCGACAGGAGGCAGATGAGGGGTTACTTGTTATGCCCCCGTGGCATCTGGGAGAGCGTCTTGGACACGTGTGCGTGTTACATGCTGTGGAATCAGCCCCAGCTCCTGGCAACCCTGCAGATGAGCCCCATCCACACCGTCCTGTCCTCACCAGCCCTCTCTGCTCCCGTGACTCACGTCTGGGGCTTCTTATTTGGAGTCAATCCATCTCACGTTCAGTCTTCCTCTTTTCCGGCTGCCTCCCATTTTCCCAGCATCACTGTCTGTTCCAAAGAACCTGCCTTCTCACCGTGTGCATGAAGTAAGATAGTAGCTTCCGTTTTGTTCTGGATACATGGTACTGAAAGCCTAATACTCTTAAATATTGTTTATACATAACAAATGCTTTTGTGATGACATATCCATTTTGCAGGTTTAGCAGTCAAGAGAGAAATTAAATTTTTTCCACTGTGAATGCCTATCTTGAAAGACACGCAGCAAAAACGGTTTTTACTATTTACAAGGAGCGCGTCAGTGCTGAGTACCCCAGCTGGAGACCGTGAAATAAGATGGGACAGAGAGTCCGAGACAGCCTTGGGGCCCAGCTCTCTCCCTGACCACTTGAGACGTCCACACAGGATCAGCCAAACTCATCATGGACGGCACCGCCTCCTCCCCAAACGGTCATCCCCATTCTTTCTAGCATTTCCCCTGACCAGCGCGTATTCCCCTCATCTTCGACAACAAAAGATACATGAGCATCGTGAGGACCACTCCCCGTGATTTTCACAAAACTGTGTACCGGCAGGAGGAAATGTCACATTCAAAGACAAAATGTCAGAGTCCTGTGACAAGTGCCTTGTAAAAGACACTGATCGGCCAGAAGCACAGGTGACACCCACTGAGGAAGAAATGTGATACGTCTTTCCACTGGAAACACAGGAGCTCCCTGGGAAAAGGAAATGTGCTCTTTTATCCATTTTGGAGAACTTAACTAGAAACACACAATTACGTAATTAAATAATTAAGTTTTCTAGTAGGGTAAATAATAACGAGGAAATAGTGACACAGTGATAGCTCTTCAGCAGGGCGTCAAGGGAGGTGTGGACCAAGGAGGCTCTCAAACTCAAGAACTTCAATCTCCTGGAAACTCACCCAGAACCTCCACCCTCTGACACCATGGTCAATTCTTGTGGCTCCGTCTGCTCTGACCAGGGCTGTGGCCAAGGCTGCTGCCAGCCCCCTGCTGCAGGACCACCTGCTGCTGCCCCAGCTGCTGTGGCTCCAGCTGCTGCCACCCCAGCTGCTGCCCCTTCTGCTGCCTCTGCCCAGTCTGTGGCCAGAAATCCTGCCACACCAACTGCTACCGCCCCACCTGTGTCACCTCCACCTGCCCCCGCCCCATGTGCTATGCCTCCTCTTGCTGCTGAGTCTCCTCTGTAACCTATTTACACTTGTCCCCAAAATGTAAACACTTCTGGTGATGACTCTTAGGACACATGGAATCTAGGTGACGTCATTCAGTGGACTGGGCTTCATGATTCCAATGAGCTCACTGTCCCACTAACTCTGTGAGCACATTCTAGTTCATTTAAAGCTTTCCCCTTTGCTACCTTTTCTTTTCGATGCTAACCAACTATGTATTAATTTGCAATCCACCCACAAAGAAACTGCCCAGGTCCTCTAAACTTCTCATTCTCCCTCACCGTCTTGGCTCTAGATTATCCTTCCAACAAGGTGGACACTGTCTGCAGCCCCCAAGTGACACTGATGTGACAACCTCCACCCTGCAGTTCAGTTATACCCTGTGTTTTCTCCTAGAGTAAATTTGTTATGTTTTGTTGTTTCTCTGCCCTTTAATAAAATTTTCTGAACATAAGAATTCATGAGCATCACTCTCTATTGTCTTTATGATCATTTTACTCGGTAACATGACCTTTCTATACCTCAACAGGTATAGAAAGAATAACTGATGTTGAACTCATTTTGAAAATAAGCACTATATCAAACATAGATAATTTAAGATATTAGATCAAAAGTGCATGTATGTGTACATGTATGTGGTACACTATCCTAAATTAGGACAGATTTAATTCATTCTTTGGCTCTTATTTAAAACGCATCATACCCCCTTAATAGCATTCGCCCTATTTTGCAGAAAAGAGTAAACCCAATTTTCTCAGTGCATGCCAAAGAAAGAAGGAAAATCTCCTGTAAAGAATTTATACATACTTAATTCCTTTCATTTAAAAAATGTTTTTTTCAGAATTTATAGCTACAAACTGGGTTAAACATTATTTCTCATTGAGTTCTACCAAGGATAAATGCATATTTCATTGTCTTTTTTTAAAATCCCTTGTACTGGGCTTTGATTGGCATGCAAAAAGCTATATATATTTAATGAATACAACTCGTTGAGTTATATTTCATTGTATTTTTAAGGAAATATGCTTCAGATGGATGGTGTTAAGTTTCTCAGGGTGTGGTTTCTCAGGGTTTTCCTTGTAATTTAAGCATCTCCTCAGTTAACTTTCCAACACATATTGACCCTGAGAGAATGGGATTTCTTTTCAAGGATTTTTTAGTGGGAATTAATTTGTAGCTTTAAGTAGTTCTTAGCTGAGGTTCCCAATGACTTTGTGAACATGATGGTACTGAAGTGAGAATTCTACATAGGAGACAAAACCTACACAGTAAGAAAGCAACGCCAAAATTTGCTAACCCCTCACTCAGAATTTGAAATTCCAACAGCTATACATAGTTTCAGAAACTGTTTTCCAAAATAATGTTCTGTACCTGTCTATAAAAATATTTAAACAAAACATTTCCAAGGGAAAGCAATATCACAGCATCACACATTCTCAGCCATTTAAATATTTCCTCTGCTGGCCACCGCCACAAGACGAGCGTCACTGGAGGGAGTTCATGTGAAGGGGACACCCCCATCACAATCTCTGCAAAGGCAACTGCACATGTGGAGAATGAAATTGAATCTACAAAGACTGTCTCAGTTGTCCGTTGCTGTATAACAACCACCCCCAAACTTAGTAGCTCAAAACAATAGTGATTCCTGGTTTCTCACAATTCGGTGCATTGAGTGGGCACCCTTTTGATTTTTGCCTGGTCCCACTCATACTCCTACATTTGTCTCAAAGTTCAGCTGGGGCTGAAGTGTCCAAGATGGCTTCACTTATGTCTGGTAGTCGGTGCTGCCTACCTCCTGGGGCACCTTGGTTCTTCTCTACATGGTCTCTTATTCTCTGATAGGCTCTGTTGGGCTTCTTTATATAATTGTAGAAATGTTCCAAGAGAGAAAAAGTTAAGAGTCAAGGCTTCTTGGGGCTTAAATTGCAGCACTCACACAACTCATCCACCATGTTCTTCTGGTCAAAATAAGTCGTAAGCCCAAACCAGACACAAAGAGTAGAGAAATAGAATCTAGGTCTTGATGGGAAGAGCTACAAGACACTGCTAGCCAGTGAGGGGCTACATCAGAATGGGGAAGTTCTGCTAAGCCAACATCAGCCTCTATATATAAACCGTCAGAGTGGGATTTCATATTAGTTTAGTATCTGTGTTGATGAAGTCCACCACTAATTTTTCCCAAGAGAAGATTTCACCTGTTTATTAGTCATTCAAGTAAGTGGTACTTATCGTAGGCAATGAAATAGCATCTCTAATGAAATATTTGATTAAATCAATAGCGCCTTTCATAAAATTGGTATTTTTCTTTTGAACATCTAATTAAATATAAACCAATAGAGACCAATAGCATGAGTTTCTTACAGAGAAATCAGGCAGTTCTTATTTAATCAATGACATTTCTTGGTTGACCAGAAAGAGAAGAAGGATGAGGAGTAAAAGTAACCCCATAAATGGAGACCCAGTGAACATAATCTAATTTGACTGTCTAGAAGTCTTTACCAAACTCCACAACAATGAGATTATTAAAATAACTAATGTACTCCTCTGGAAGATTAGATCATTCTTTGTTAATATTTACCCTTTCCCCCTCCACTCCCTGGAAGAAGCACCCCCTCTCACTCTTCCACCCTGTGCTTTGAACTTCACCATGTGACTTGCTTTGGCCAATGGGACATTAGAGGGCGTGACCCAAGCAAAGGCCTGAGACACGTTAGCAGGACTGGGATTGCTCCCTTGTGCTTGTACTGTCAGTAGCAGGGTTTTCAGCTAAAACACAGGGCACAGCTCATTGAGCTGGAATTTCAGATAAACAATGAATAAATTTTTATGTAAGTATGCCCAAATGCATACTCAAATGTACTAAAAAATTTTTGCTGTTGATTTGAAATCAACATTTAACTGAGTTGCGTGTATTTTTATTTGCTAAATCTGGCAACTCTAATTCAGCAGAAAGCCCCAAACCAACCCATAGCCGGCAGGCAAGCCCAGCCTCAAACAGCCAAAACCCAATGACCTGCAGGCACATGACCGAGAAATAAATACTTGTTGCTGTACATTATGAGAGTTTGCGGTTGCTTGTTATGCAGCAATAGCTGACTAATTCAACTGTGGCAACAATGAGAAACTAGCTTAATACATCAATCAGTATGAAAAGATTAAGCAGACAGTTTTCTCTAAAGAAAATAAAAACAAAGGAGCGGCCACATGTTTGGGGCAGGGTTGGTTTTATTTTAATTAACTTTCTGAAGGACATAGGTTAATAAGCCCCTGGGCTTATAAATAAAATTAAGCTTTTATAAATAATACAAAGTCCTATCCTGTTAAATTGAAGGAGAACCCCATTTGTTTTTGTAGGCATGTTTGTTAAAACACAAGCTTACAGGTCAGACTTGCTTAGACTGAATCCAGGCCTTGTGATTTGCAAGCTTGGGCAAGTTGGTTAACCTTGTGAAGCTTCAGCTTCTTTGTCTACAGAGTGAGGATAAAAAATACCTAACTCAATTGATTGTCATGATGATTAATAAGATAGGTAAACATACCTATCACAGTCCCTGGGACACACCAAAATACTCCCTAAAGCATGACTTAAAGTTCTTACATAGGTGGGAGGAAAAGTGGGAGATGACATACAACATCAGCAAACAAAACAGTACAGCATTATCTGTTCTTAGAGGAAAATGGGTATCAGCTTCCAGTAGGGGCCTAGTGGGAAAAGAAAAGAAAATTCCTCATAAAACTATGAAATCAAATACTAGTTCAAGGCCAAAGATGTTCATAGAATATTGGTCATAAATAAAAAGGCTATTAGTAAAGAGTTATTTAGTCTATACAATAAAAATCAACTAATATTGTAAGCAAAGAGAAAATCTTGACATGAGGAATACAGAGAGTGAATTTGGTGTAACTCGCATCTGTGATATCCTCCACGGTGTCATTGAAGCAAAAACAGAATGAATTCCTCCATGAGAACAACCAAAGGCCTCCCCCGTGAAGAGCAGGGGGTAATTTTAGGACAAATGACTATTTAAAAGCATTTGATTGGTGCTTTGCAAGCTCTTGGCCTTCCTTTTCTCATTGGGTTCATAGGAAGTAAGTGAGATTGACTGGATGGATTTCTTTATTTTATTCAAATCCGAAGGAAAGTGTTCTACCTCACCAGTAAGAAGTAATTTATGGAACTCACCATAAAGGCAAGATACAGGATGAAGGTACAAATAAATAACAACAGGTGGAATTAGGCAAGTGCATGCCTCCCTCACAGTGCCCTGATGAGCCCCCAAGGGGAGCCAGACCACCCTGTGAGACCAACACCCAGAAAAGGAGGAGCCCTTGACATCCTCACTGCCCCTTGCTCAGCTCTGTTGACCCTCAGAGAGGAACCTCTGTGCCCGCCAGAGCTCAGGTCTGACCCCTCATGGAAGTCCCACAGCCCTTTCGGATGGTCTGTCATGGGGTGAAACACAGAGGCTGCTCACTGAGGAATGAGGAGACCTGGATGCCAGACCTCACTGTGTGACGACGGTGAACACACATGACCCTCCTGTAAAATGAAGGACAGGCTTACATACCCTCTACAGCAGCAGTCCCCAACATTTTTGCCACCAGGAACCAGTTTTGTGGAAGACAATTTTTCCGTGACCAGCTGGGGTCAGGGGATGATTTCAGGATGATTTAAGCACGTTACATTCAAGCTCACCTCCTGCTGTGCAGCCTGGATGTTGGGGACCCCTGCTCTATAGTCCCTGGATTCCACACATGGGATGACTGACCCCGAATGAATTACAGAGACAGAAATTGCAACCAATTTTTGCAACCAGGGTAGATGTTGAGTGTGGCTGGGAAGGAGGAGGAGGGCATTCAGGTGAATGCGGAGACATTAGGATCAAGGCAGGACAGGACAGGCCCTATTGTGGGGGGACCCCACCAGGGTGGCAGGGATCCAGGGCGCCAGGGGGTCCCTCCTCCATGAACCTGCCTTTCGGAGAGCAGAGGGAGACGTCTGAGA